ATTACCTCATCACAGCCTACTTTTTCTTCAACAAGACTGCTGCTTCATTCAGGGCACGATGGACAGACAGCAATTAATGAAGGGCCAGTCAATATTTTTTCTGTCCCTTTTTTGTTCAGCGTGTGGCCCCAGGCATTATTTGCCGCATGCCGTCAAATCCCTGCTCTTAGACAGAATTATTCATGTTCTCCTGGACTTTTTTCTCATGTGTGTCAGTGCAGCAACAGTGAGCTTCCCACACAGGAAGGAATTTCTCTTCCAACACTCCTGTGAGTGAGAGCCTGGGTTTTACCTACAGGAATATGTGGGGCAGACATGAGTTGCTGAATGCTCCCGTAGTAAGGCCCAGGTGGGATTTTTCAGGGTATCCACATTGTGTGTGTGCTCAAAGCCCAGCTCCCCTGAGCTCAGCCAGGGCTGTAAGCAGTCAGCACTTCCATAATCTGAGCTCCAGTGTGTCCAGAAAATGAGAAACATGGAACTGGTGCCTCTCAGAGAGAAAATGTCAGTGGTTAGAAGTGCCAACAGCTCTGCTGACGCTGTGCTGGAGCGGGGCTCTGCTGCACAGTCAATGTGCTGGAGGGAAAGAACGGAGCAATGCTGGTACGTGCAAAGGGGTGGAGTTAAGGCAGTGCAAGGTGACTGGCATTTGCAAATTTTCCAGTAAAAAATGCAGTTTTCCTACCTTAGCTTTTCTTTTCAGCTGTACTCTGCTTTCTCGCAATCTCTTAACACATTTTTCACCTTTACCAAGGATATCAGTGAGAACATTTCTCACTTTCAACCTGAGCAATCTTAACCTTTACTCTGGCACAAGTAGAAAGAGGTGAGTGCAGGACAGAGACTGGGTAAGAGGAAGAGCTCCTTGTGCCACCAGCAGCATCAAAGGGAGTCCCACTCAAAGGCTTTCCAGCATCTGCAGTGGGAGCAGAATTTGCTGGTCACCGAGCAGCTTAAAAAAGGACAGTAACAAGAGGAGAGGAAGGTGATGAACCTTCATTGCCACACTGCACTGTCCTCCTCTGTACCCACTTAACCCAACCTTCGAGAGTCGTCTTTGTGTCCAAGATGGGCTTTCCTCAGCCTTTCTGAAGCACGTCTAAGGGGCAATGCTCTCTTCTCCAGCAGCTTCTCTGGGCAGCACAGAGGTCTCTTTTACTTGGAGAGAAATTCATAGGCCTACCAGCTTGTCACTCCAGAAGATGTCCAGCATTTTCAGCAAGGCTTAATTCATTAGCTCACATAGGAAAATATTCTAACCTTCCTGCCCTCCCAGCTGAGTCACTGATGCTTTCCTAGCTCGCTGCAGACACATCACCTTCAGGAAAATAATTGCTTAGTGTGCTGGTAATAACAGACATTATCTTTCTGAACTGGGTGTTTGTTTGGGATCATGGGGTCTTCTCACTGTAGGGCACATTGGGGTTACTGGTTGAAAGAAGTCCTGACCTTCCCTTGCAGGCTGTGGGAAATGCTGCATGGCCACTGGGCTGGGCTCTGGGGGGACCTGGGAGAAGGTTGGAGGAAGGTCAGCCAGAGGGAAAGGGCTGAAGGGTCCTGGGAGGGACAGGATGAGCTGTGAATGGGAGAATAACCATGCTGGACAGAAAGGGGATAAGGAAAGAATCCAGAAGTAAAGGCAGTACTAAAAAGACCCTTTAAGCATTTCATTTTCATGTCTGGCCTCTCTGCAGAGTCTGTGCACAGTCCAGAGGTCTTTTCAGGGACCTGAGCTGCCCGGGAACTTGAGGTTTGCCCAGGGTTACAAGAGGGAGATGAAGCTTCTAAGCTTGATGTCTATGGCCTGCGACCGCGAACACCTCCTCTCACTGGTGAGGACACGCTGGGAGGGAAGAGGATTGCCCATTGCTGTGTTCACCAAAGCTTATCCCAACCCTTCAGAGACCACCACAACAATGGGTTCAACGTGAATTTCTAGCAACCAACCACTCGGGGACAAATCACAGCACTCCACTGCCCCGCGACTGGCAGGCATTGCAAATGCTTGACAGCCCCAGCCCTAACATCACTTGTATGGTGCCCTCTTGGGAAGTCAGTGGGACCTGACTTCTGGGAGAGTGGTGGGAACAGTTCCTCAGTGAGGGCCCATCTACAGGTGACACTTGTCCCAGGGGCTTCTATAGACAAGGGCAGGTGGAATTTAACCACAGGTCAGCTGACCAGTTGGATTCACTTACAGGCACGTGAGCACTTTATACAGGATTTCCCTCCTGAAATAAGCTGCACAGGTGTGCAGGCAGCGGAGGGTGCTCCAGCCCCAGCCTCGATCCTGGTTCTGTAACCAGCTGTTGCATCAGTTGTAGCCTCTTGCTCCAGATGATCCCAATCCAGTTCCCACTGAACGGCCCGCGTTGCCTACGCCCTAGGATGGATGTTCTCAGACAGCCTGACTGTGTGGGCTAAACCAGGAAAGGTGCCTGAATTTGGGTGCCAGCCATATTTCCGACTCTCAGGACCATCTCTCCCTTTCCGTGCCTCAGTTTCCTTCTCTGGAACATGCTGATACCAGCACAAACATTTCCTTCTTTAACATCTTTCAGTCAGATGTGCCCTGGAAGTGTTGCAGGTTGTTGCTATTTCCAGGGCTATCATTTTAACACATTTTGGCTGCACTAATTCCCTCAAACAGAAATTGTTCTGCCTGTAGTAGGCTGGGACAAAGCAGCCAATTAGTCGTCCCTTACACGTTTATTAACTCTGCAGCTTTCTGTCAATGGGGATGTGGAATCTGGTAATGTTTTAATATATTTTCATAAAGTGTGGGCACAACATGTCCTGTTTCAAGCTAATAACCGTGCCATATAATTAGTCCTGATTACACAGATATTTAGTATCATTTTACATATTCCAGTCCTTTCCTAGTGCCACTGCCTAGCCAAGGCATATTTAAAGCCACAGCCATCTCCCTTCTGTTTCCCAGCAGTTTGCAAGATTTTCTTTTGGACAGGTTTGCAGTTAACACGACAGCTTCAAAGACCAATCTCATTTCGGTGATGTACATTTTATATATATAGAGTCTCCGATCAAATGTCAGGTGACAAAGCCCAGGATACAAATAGAAGGCATTTGTCGACTTAGAGGGAAAAGCCGGTATTTGAAAGCTGTCAGGAAATTAACAACATGAATCTTTAAAAAATCTATTCCTTAAACATCTGTTGGCTTTGGGCTGAACATTTACCGTATTTAGGGTTTTACTGCGAGGTAGCACTTCCCAAACAAAAGATTCCTCACCCCCTTAGACTTCGGTGGGGGAATGAGAAAAATTTGCTCAGTGCAACCCGATTAGAGATGTGTATCTTTCCCTGCTGGCGTGGCTGTCTCTATAGAGATGGACATGGATATTTGATGAGATTAAAATGCTTCAGTTACCACTGTCAGTGGTTCTTTAATTTAAAATGAAGAAAGCAAACAAACATTCCTTTTGATGAGGTAACTGAATGATGCTACGGAAAAGCACTTTGCTGTCAGGTGGTAATTAGGTTCAGTAATAGTTGTGGGTTTTTAGCCTTGGAGGCTCTGGCCCCTGGGAGTCTGAGAGAAATGATACATTCAATTTCCGGAGGAGGGGAAGATGCTGGATGCTTTTCTCTGCTAACCCTGCAGGTCTCCGCAGATAAGAGCATTCAGAACGGCAGCGCTGACAATCCTCCTTGAGCCAGCCTAAACTGTTGTGTCAAGATCACGAACGGAGTAAGGGAGATGGACTCAAAGCAGGGCATTTAAAGACCTAATGCAGTCAGGCTGGCTCTGCCCACATGCAGAAGGAACTGCCAGAATGGCTGCACTGAGAGGATTTTTAAAGGCTGCAGAAGGAACTCCAGCAGCTGCTCTAGGGTCTGGACTGATATTTGTAACAACCATCTTATGCATCACTAGAAAATCTTCAGTAAGGGAGTGTTCCTTTGCAAACAAGCAGCTGTTCCCACAGGTACTTTTGTAAGGGGGGAAAAAAGTGGGGAGAAGAAGGGAGTGAATGTCAAGGCTCAGCTGCCTCTCTTGCCAATTTGGAATTGGCTTTTCCACTGTAAAATATAAATTATATTTGGTTGTGCTGTTAAGAGTTGAAACCCAAATGAAACATTCCTATTGGCCCAAAAGCATTCAATGGGAAATTTTGAGTTTGGAGGCATTACTGCTGTTTTCCCAGCACAGCGACAAATTCTGAATATGGTGTTTCTGGTTCCTGCTCTGCTCCCCTGCTCATGTTACTACACAGTTCTGCCTGTTCAGGGAGTGCCTGTTCTCAACAGACAGTTCAGTGGTATCACCCCTGCTCCTCACGCAAGCTGAGAGACGCTGGAAGGACACCAGTTGGCCAGCACCAAGAAGGCCAGCAGCACTGCAGGGATTAGAGCGTGGGCATTTCATACCCTCTGCTCATTGCTCACCAGTACCTCACTTCATGTACAAAAAGACTTCCTTTTGGACAAACTTCTACTAAACTGCTTGTAAAGCTGGAGTAAGGACTTACAGTGAGAGGGGATCTCCAGGTAAAGGGTCCCAGTTGGTCTGGCAGAAGGAACCTGCCATCTGGCTGCCAGCACTGCTGCGGGTGCAAGGGGAGATGGAGAACCCTGCCTTTGGCGCAGGCTTGCCAGTAATTTCCTGAAGCACTGAAAAAGTTTTCACTTCCAGAATTAAAACTTTTCAAAATAAAGTGGGTCTGGTTTTCCTCTCACTTGCAAGAGATAAATGAAGGGTAAGTCCATTAAAGATACTGGTGTGAGATTGGTGTACAGCAGACAGAATTCAGGAAAGATATCCATATCTCCAAAATCCCCTGAATATTTTTTCAGACATAAACCAGGTATCTTTCCTAATCATAAATGCTTTATTTCCGAATGGAATTTCAATAAAATAAGCACAGTTAGACTAGCTCTCTTATTATAAAGCCATAACACAGTAGCACTGAAGTTTAGTCATGAAAAGTATTAAAAAAGCAGCCCTGCTAAAGGAAGAGAAATTGCTTTCTGACCTACCGAGTTTTAGGAGTAGGTACTAGTGGTCTCTCCACCAAGGAGTTTAGCCTGTAGTAATCCAAGAACGTCCTGGCCACATTTCTTCCAAGCTTCATATCTGTAAGTTTTTAATTAAGGAGCATTTTTTTGAATAATTAATAATAATAATAATAATAACAAAACAGAGTCTAAAGGTAAATTAGTGCTATTTGATGCATGAGCAAGTTTTACATCAACCATCCCACAGTGCACAGGCTTCAGGCAAAATGACTTACACAAGCAGATAACGTGGGGGTCATCTTGTTTGCTTCTTGTTTGCATAGGTGGATGCTGCATAAAACCACAGACAGGAGGAAACAATCTCCCTTTGCCTTGCAGATCCCTGTGGTGGTCATGAAGTAATACACTAGGCAAAAGAGGGCTTACAATTTCCACGTTCAGGGAAAATAATTACCTAAAAATGCTTGGATGCAGGCAGTATTTCTGTGCTTGTATCCAGGAAACAAGGTCAACAATGTCATGGCATGAACCAGCCATGGACAGACTCAGGGCTGGGATTAAAGCTGTAGCACTCCAAACCTTTAGCACTGACCCCCCCACTGTCTCCTGGGAGAATATACTGTACTTTAATTGGGTTGTATTCAGGGCCTGAAACGGGGACAACAGATTACCTTAAGAGGGTCAGCAGTAACTCCGGGGGCTCTTCTCTCCTCACGAGCACCGATTCCTGCTCCAGCTCACCCTGAGCCCAACATTGGGCAGGTGCTGCACATCAGAGCTGCCACAGAGACCTCGCAGGCACAGGAACCAGACCTTCCTCAAGACTCTGTTGCCTAAAAAGAAGCTGAATAATCTGTGAATGCATTGAAAAATAATATCCTAGACAACATGTCCATGGGGTGAGTCTCCTGCTCATGTTTAAATATCAGCACTCGGTCTGCCTTTTACAGAGCAGTTCTGGCTTTTCATCTACACGGTGATGTCCAGCTGGGAGAAATGCAGCTGATGCCATTACCCACAGCTCTATTATGGGGTCTGAGGAGGACTTTATTTGCCTATTTTGAACTGTTGCCTACCCATGCTACAATAGCCCCATACTTTTGCAGAACACTGCCCCAAATAGTCCTTGCAATGGCCATTTCAGGAGTGCTGACACAGTAGCTGAGGCAGGTACATAACCTGGGGAATCTAAATGTACCTCAACATCTGAGACCCAGCAGTCCAGGAAAATAAACTGCTGCTGGGTTGTTTTGCGTGCATGTGTGCATGTTCTGCTTTATCAATAGTTATCTGCTGATATTTCCATTAGAGGAAAATTCCAGAAGTGCAGGGTCCCAGAGGCTTCCAGCAGCGCTCATGAAGACGCTAGCTTCTAAATGAGGCTTTTATTACCCGCCCACTTACATTAGACACATCAAAACAAGTGAGCATGAGACATCAGGTTCAGGCATCGCTGCAAGATCTCCGTTTACAATTTATTTATTTATTTAAAGAGGAGGTTGAACTGATGTGACTCACTCTCTAGCTCTAGTTCTGCAAAAAGCAGCCACCAGCTCTGCTAGTGCTGCACTCAAGCCCTCATCTAGTGGCTGAGGATGACTCCTGGCACTGCTTTTCTCTCCGGTGACCTGGTCTTACTTTTCCAGTTCCCACTGCTGTATTTGGGGATGGTTACATGGATCCATCCCTTCTGTTCCAAGGTCTATCCTGATATGCTCATTGCCATCCTAATACCATATGTGCTGCGGGTGTCTATATTCTTCTGCCCAACAGTACAGCACAGCCCGAACAGCTGGTGCTCACGGCTGTTCTCTGCACGGACAGGGACAGTCGGTTGTGTGAAACAGCAGCCCCGGCTGTTTCACGGCTCCTGCAGGGCCCAGTAAGCTTCCCTGCAGCCTGCCAGCACCGACGGATGAGACTAACCGTACGTGCGTGAAAGTTCAGGAAGTTGGAGAGAGCTTAAAGTTTACCAATTCTGGGGAGGGCAGCGTTGCTTTGAAAGTGTTTTGTGATTGTTACTGGAATTTGGGGATGGCTGGGGGTAGTTTGGTTTCTGCAGATGTGAACTCAAAGCAGCGGCAAAGGTTAAGAGTTCAAAGTAGTCTGAGAAAGCAAGAAAGAAGGGGAGAAGGCTGTCAAACATTTAAGGGATTGAGAAGACTAACATGGCTTGATCTTGTAGTTTCTTTCATTTACTCAGCACTTTAAAGACATAAAGTGGTAATTGGACTCAGTAAAGTCTCTAGGACATTTTGTCAGTGCCAATCTCAGAAGGCTCCTCTGCCAGAAATGGCCCTGCTGCCCTTTTCTTTATATCTCTACACTGCCTGTGCTTGCACGGTGGGAAACAGCTGACCCGCTGTCCTGGGGGAGAAGCCCTCAGGTGAGAGTGGGTGCAGGCAAGGAAGTGCCTACACAAGCTCCTCCGCGGTGCCTTACGACTCTGCCTGAACCCTGACCCAGAGGAATCCAGTCCTACTGCTTGAACTTGGGTCTTAGGAACAGCTTTCTAAAGGCAAGGACAGTCAATCACTGGAATAACCTGCCTTAGCACATCTTTAAATCTCCAGACCAGAGGTCTTCAGGAAGAGGTTAAACCCACAGCAGGCAAGAATGGTCTGCCCTGGTCCTGCGTGGGGTTCAGAGGAGGAAGTATAGAAGGGTCTCTAAGGGCCCTTCACCCCAGTTTTCTAATGTTCTTAGCATGTAAGAAATCTTAACGAGCAGCCCACACAGACCTCCAGCTAAGATTACCAGCAAAGGCAAAGGCATTGTGCAGAGCATGGACATACGTGTAGACAGGCACTATGAAGAAAATGGAAATGCAAACCTGTGCCGCACGCAGCCACTGAAAAGTCACAAAATTGGATCAACTTGCAGTCAGCACTGAGAGAGAGAGATTGGAACCAGCATGGGATAAAAAATGTGCATGTTCTAGTATAGGCTCTCAGGCCATCCTACCCCCACAGCTCTGCCCGCCGCCTCCGCAAAGGATGAGCAGTTTCTGTCATGGAAATCAGGCACCTGATACGTAAAAACAGCAACAGCAATAACAGCCTCTCCCTGTGACTGCCTAGCTTGGGCGAGAAACGGCCTGACTCACTCAGCAAGTGCAGGTGGCACGTGCGTGCAGAACCAGTGGAGAAAAACAAATCAAAGCAATAACATTTGCATTTATTTCAGGTGCACGGAAGATCCAGATTCCGCTTTGGCCTACAGTATATCATGAGCACATAAATAACTGTGGCTACAACCAGAACTCACTTTGGCTGGTGTGTTTGTTAGTTTTTTAACCAGCTTCCCTTCTGCAATCACACGTGCTGTGCTTTTGCCCACAGGAGTGTCCTACCTAGGTTGAACTGCACTTGACAGAAGGCATTTCTCAGCTATTCCCATCCCGGGAGCTCAGCTTGTTTAAGACAGCAGAAATCCATTTGGGAGTGTCACAGCGGAAACATCTGGGTGAATCTTCACCTTCACTAACATCTGCAATTCCCTTTCCTCTCCCTTCCTCCTCCATAGACTCGTTGCTCCTCCACGCTCCGTATTTCTACCTGGAAGCGGAAAGCAGTGTGCCCAAGGCCCCTCCTGGAAATGCCACTCTCACAACCTTCCCTCTGAGTAACATCAGTTGGTTCTGGGGAGATTTCAGAACAGTCTGTTTATGCACGACTCTGCCAAATCCCGCGGATGTTAGTTCAAGAATAATGCGTGGCTCTCCACGAACGCCCCAGATGTAGGATCCCCAGCATGCCTCACACCCCAAAGCTTCTGGCCTTGGTAAGACAGAGGAGTGGGGGTCTCATAAGCCATTACTAGCTTTCAGCTGAGAAGATTCATCGATCCTGTTGTGAACAGTCTGCTTAAGCTGGAGCCTCTAGAAGCATTCACACAGCCTTGTTCTGTCTGTGCATGGAGGTAATAAAAACCACAGTTTGGAAACCCGTTAGCAGCACAAGTCATTTGGGGAGGTAGTAAATGTTGCTGCTTTAATAGCTCACTGATCATTTAATAATGTCACTGCTGCAGAGCATGGTGGCACCATTCGCTCACTTTTGTTTTGCTTTTTGAAATTCAGGGTCATTCCACTTTCAAGTGAGTGGATTATCTCTCTTTCCCCCTCTTGCCAGACACTGCAAACTGCTTTAAATAATTAGAAAAAGGATGGCTCCTTCAAGTTCACCATCTCATTTTCATAAGGTCCAGTGTCATTGCTTTGGAACGGGAAGAGAAGCCGTGGTGGTGGTAAGGATTTGACAAGGGCAAAACAGTTAGCAGCCCCCACTCATCTTTGATAAGTCCTGTGGGGTCTCTGCCAAGCAGATTGGATCTGTGTTTTTATGTCTCATCTAGAGGACAGCACCTCCATCAATCTGAAACACTGCGCTCGGTTATTAGCTTATGGAATTCGTCCAAGTTTAGTCTTAAACAGGATTTGGAATCGTGACCATTCAATCCAGAGGCACCACTGACCAGACCCCTGCAAGTCTTTTGTTCCAGACAAACAGCTTTAAGCTATCCTAAAGACAGAGACAGGGTAAAGGAAAAAAAAAAAATAGAGAAGGGAGAATGAGGGGAAGGAAATGAGACACAAAGAGAAAGATGAATCTTTCTAATAGCTCAAATTAAAAACCAGAAGCAGCTCTTTGTTTGACAAAACTGAATTCTACAGCAAATCTCAGTCCGCTGCAACAACAATTCTGTTATTTATGAAGAGAGGGTTATTTTGTGTGGGAGAGTCCCAGATGACTGTGGTCAGCTAGCATACAGCCAGCTTCTTACAATCTCAAGAGAAACATGGATGAGGTTTTCTCATCTGTTTATAACAGCTTCCATCAATGGATCAAACCCTTTCCTGACGTGAAGAAGAGCTCTGATGGACAATGGCATTACACAGCTTTAAACTACTGTGTTAATGTCACGTCCGACCTGACGAGAACCAGTCCCCCGTTTTCACAGAGCTGTTTTCACCAGTTACTTGTTTTGTTTCACAGGGCTGACACTGTCCTCAAGTAAGAGATGCTGCCCATATCACATCTAATTGGAGGCCCCACTTATATGTAAAAATTATAAATTAAATAAAGCAAAGCGCAACAGGGGCTTGACGGTGGGGGA